TAAAAAATAGTAAAATTTAAATTAACTATAACTTAATTGTTAGCATTATAACTACTACTACTACTAAACTATAACTACTACTAATAATTTAATTATTATTATTATTATTATTTAGAGTTTTAAAATTTATTAGAAATTTACATTAAATTTAAAATTAGTTTTTTAAATATAAAATTCTAATAAATTTTATTAAAAAATATGTACTTAATTAAGTAAATAAAAATATTACATAAAAATTATTTACATGTACTTTATTTTATAAAATATCTAATTAAAAATTTTACTCTAAAAAATACAAATATTTTATTAGTTAACTATTTACAAATTTTTTTCCAAAAAAAATATAAGTTTATATTTATTAATAATAATAATAATATTAATATTAGTATTAGTATTAATTAGAATTAATAAAAAAAATAATAGAAAATAAATAAATAATAACTAATTAATAACAAATATAATTATATATATTATTAATTTTAATTAAAACAATTGTCAATATATTAGTTTTTCCCTCAATTATAAATAAATATATACTGTATATTTAAAATATACATAAAAATTACATATATTGTATGTAAGTATTATTAAATATAAATAATAATAATAATAATAGCACTTACAGTACAACTACTACTACTACTACTACTACTACTACTACTACTACTACTACTACTACTACTACTACTACTACTACTACTACTACTACTACTACTACTAATGATTATTACAGTATTACTCAGATATAGCATCATTAATAGGGGATAATAATAATTATTTTATTTTAATAATAATAATACAGTATTATTAGTATGTAGTATATAATTATTATAATATTAAAAAACTGGTTTATAAAATAATAATAACTAATAATAATAATGAAAAAAAATTAATAATAATTTACCCAGTATTACATATAGACATTGACATTTAAATATATATATATATGTATATATATATATATTGTTGTTATTTTATATATTATATATTTTATACACAATTAGTATTACAACTAGTAATAGGAAAACATTGAAAAACTTTTATTATTATTATTATTAATAGATTAGAAATTTAAATATTATTTTTATTATTATTATACACTATTATTACATGTATTAGTAGAGTATATATATATATAAATAAATGTCAAACAAACTATTTATTTTAAATAAAATGATTAATAAATCAATTTCACACAAAAAGTTATTGATATTTAAAATATCATTAGTTTTATTAAATTTTTAATTAATTAATATTTATATATTTTTTAATAAACTAATAATAATAATAATAATCATGACTACCCTAGATCATTTAGATGAAATTAATATAGAAATTGATAATATTGTAAGATATTATTTTTTATTATTATTATTATTTTAATTTATTAAAATTTTAATTAATTAATAATACTAATTATTTTTATTGTTAATAATAATATTATAAATAACTTTAAATTTTATTACACTATATATATATTAAATAATTTTAAAATACTTTAATATACTAATTATTTTTTTGATTGTTAATAATAATATAAATAAGTTAATTTTTATTTTATTATTTTAAAAAATGATATTTTTAAGTTTTTGATATGTTATTTAAATATAATATTAGATTTTTTTAGAAATATAATTATTTATCAAAAATAAAAATAATTAATATCTTAAAGTATTTTAATTTTTTTAAAAAAAATAAAATATATATAAATTTTTTTATTATTAAATTCATCTAGATAGATATAATGCGCACAAATATGACCCGATTGTTGGAAAGGGATGGCCGTATAGATGACCTATATGCCCGATCAATTGAGCTAGATGAATTGGGCAAAAATTTTAAACTAAATTGTCAACGTGTTTTAATTAAAAAACGTCACCTGAATAGAAAATTATTAATAATTATTATTGTATTAGCCAGTACAATTGTTTGTATAATTTTAGGTTTAATATTATTTGAATTGATTTAACAAAATGTTCAAAAAAAAATAATTAAATAAATTTAATTATTTATAAATAAATTATTAAGTTATTTACAATTTTTTTTAAGACAGATAAAACATATGTTTATAATAATTATTAATATAAATAATTAATTTTTGTTATTATAATATACAGTATTATTATAAATAAAAATAATTTTTATACTCAATATATATACAGTAGTTTTTTTTAAATAAATATTTGTATCAAAATAAACACAACAAAATTTTGTTTAACTTAAATATTACGATTAATTGATAGATTTTTTTTATTTGAAAAATTTTTAAGTAAATTTTCCACAAAAAAAATTAATTATATAATAAAGTATTAAGTCTTATATATAGTATAATATAATTTATATTTGAAGGTCATATCAAAAAAAAAGTTTAGATTAAATTTATTTATTAATAATAAATGGTTTTATACTTTATTTAAATGTATAAATAAATAGATATATATATATATTATATATATATTTAAAACATTAATATCAATAAAATAAAAATAATCATATCCTGAGAGATAAACAAAAATATACACCATTTTTGTCGCATTTAATATAATATTTTTATTTTAAAAATATATTTATTTATTTCAGATATTTTAAACAACAATTTTCAATAAAAAACACGTTGAAAACTAAACAGTAGTTTTTATTTTATTGTTAATGCATTTTTACAACAACAAAAATTTAGCTAGCTAAAAAAATTACTAATTAATACTAAAATTAATAATAATAATAATAATGTCTAGTACATTATATACACCAATAAATACTATACAGGACCAAGCTGATGAAGTGGTAAGTTTTAATTTGAGTTATTTTTTTAATAAAAATTAAAATATAAAAAATAATAATAATTTAATTGATAATATTAGATTTTTTAAAAATTAAAATAAAATAAACATAAACATAAAAATTATTCAATGAATTCTAAAACAATTAAAATATATAATTATTTATTTTGTTTATATATTATTTTAGAAAAATGTATTTATAATGTTATAATTTATTTGTATAAATCAATCACTAGTTAATAGCAATTATTTTTTTTATTTTTATTTATATTTATTTTTAAATAATAATAATAATAATAATACTGTAATAATTGTCAATAACCTTTTATATTGTATTGTTATAACATTTTTATATGTAAATTATTATTAATAACTTTATATATATATATATATATATGTGTGTGTGTGTGTGTGTGTGTGTGTGTGTGGATGTCATCATAATAGGACGTTTTTTTTAATAATTTTTTTAGTATTTTATATTTAACTAAATTAATTATAACTTATTTTGTTTTTATTTATTTATTTATTTTTTTTGATTTGATCTAGGTGGATATTATGAAAAACAATTTACATATGATACAGGAACGGGAGGGACGGTTAGATGAACTATCAGATAGGGCTACTAGTCTAGAGGAAGGTGCCCAACGATTTAAGCTAACTGGCCAATCACTGACCAGACACTATTGGTGGCAAAATAGGAGGCGCCAACTAGTATTGGCCGGTATTTTTAGCTTGATAGTTTTGGTTATTGTTATTATTATTGTTGCTAGTTTAAAATAATAATAATAATAATAAATAAATAAATGTACTAGATGATATATAAAATTTTGTAGTTTAATTATTATTATTTTTCTAAATATATAACTTTAATAAATGTAATATAAATTAATAGATAGATTATTAATAAATTATTAAATATTTTTGTTTTTTATATAAAATAAATGTTTTGATTGTAATTATAAAAAAAAAATTTGATTACAAATTACTATTAGTTTATTAATAATTATTATGTTTTTTTAGTTAACAATTATTTAATTAGTTATTTAAATAATTATTTTTTTTAAATAAATATAATATTTGTTAATTTTTTTGATACCATAAATAGTGATCTAATAAATTAGTTTTTTATTAAATATAAGTAATTTTTATTACTTATTATAATTACATTTTTATTATTATTATTTTATTTATTTGTTTTTATAATTATAAAATGATATCATATTTAAAAAATTTAATTTTCTATTAGTTTTTTTGAAAACTTTTTTTTTAAAAATAATTAAATTAATATGTTTTTTGTTGTTTTATTTTGACAAAAAAATAAACATTTTTTTTGTATTATAAACTTTTGACATTTTTTTATAGTTTTATAATATTTTTAGTTGTATTGATGAATACTTGATCAAGGTTAATTATCATTTAATATAGTAAATATAAATGTAATAATAATAATATATATATATATACTTAATATATAAATTACAATTTTTTAGCAAAAATTTTTAAATGATAATGCACATTATATTGATAATTAATTAAAATTATTATCAAAAAAATAATATAATAAAATCAACATTATTATATTGATAAAAAAACTTTATTTTATAGTCAATATATCAATATTGAAATATTTGTTGTTTTTTTATAAAATACTTTTATATTTTAGTTTAAATTATATTAATAATTAACTTATTATAATTATTTCTAATATTTAAAAAAATTATGAGTTTATTAAATATTAAACTATTATTTTTTTTAATAAACTAATAATTACAAAACTTTTGTAAATATGTATTTTATTTTTACTATTTATAATTAATTGTTAAAATAAAATAAAACAATTAAATACTGTACATACTGTATATATATATATACAGTATATATTGCTAGATCATCATCATCAATTTTTTTTACTATTTAATTGCAATTTTTATTTTGTTTTTTGATAATTTAATTATTAATTTTATTATACAATGTTTTAAATTTATAAAAATTTATGACATTGACATTGATATTTTCAACTACAAAAAAAATAACATTAAAAAGTATATAAGGCAAGTATGATATTTAAAAAAAAAATAAAAAATAAAATAAAATACATTATTAGTGTGTATATACTTTTTTTAAAAAAAAAATATTAAATTATTATTATTTTTAATAATTAAAAAACAATAAAATACAATGAAATCATTATCATTATTATTATTATTATTATTACTTTCAATGTTAACTATCGGTAAGTTATTTATTGTAATTACAATTTAGTAAATTATTATTATTAAGTATTATATAGTAATATAAATAAAGTATTTTCTAATTATTTTTAAAAAAAATTTTTGTTGAAAACTTATTTTCTATTTTTTTAAAACAAATATATTTTTAATATTTTATTTATTTATTTTTTATTATATAAAAAACAATATTATTTATAGATATAAACTGCGATTGCGGTGACAAACAAAATGGCTGTATGTTTGCCGGCGAGCTTTTCGGCTTATGTATGGAAGGTTTATGTACCGATAAATTTTTTGGACTGTCCCCTACTATTAAAACTATACCACAAGAGGGTAGTGGTGGTGAACAGGGACAGGAAGGTGCTGGTGGTGGTGAACAGGGACAGGGAGGTGCTGGTGGTGGTGAGGAACAGGGAGGTGCTGGTGGTGGTGAGGAACAGGGAGGTGCTGGTGGAGGTGAACAACAGGGAGGTGCTGGTGGTGGTGAACAAGCAGGTGCTGGTGGTGAACAAGGAGGTGCTGGTGATGGACAGGGAGGCGCTGGTGAGCCGGGAGGTATGGGTGAACAAGGAGGTAAATGAGTGGGGAAAAAATATTCATTAAGGTCAATTTATTATTGAAAAAAAACAACAACTATAATTTGTGCTTGATTATTTTATTTTATTTAATATTTAATTTTATTATTATTATTATGATAATAATATACTGAATATTTTTGTATCATATTATTTATTTTTATTTGTTATTGGTATTTTTAAGTTAAAATTTTTTTTTAAGTATATAAATTTTATTGTTATTTATTATTTTGAATTTAAATTTATTATATTGTATATATATGTTTTTTTTTGTATGTAATAAATATGTTATCATTGTTTTATTTTTTTTTTAAATTGTAATAAAAAAATTGTTAAGTTATGAAATATCTACTTTTATATATAAGTAATATTATTTATTTTTTATTAAATATAGTAAATTATACAGTAATTATATTATTTTAACTATTTTAATGTATTAACTAAATATTTTTAGCATGCTAGTTTTTGTTATTATTTTTAATTATTATTATTACTAGTTTATAATGCAAAATAATAATGTTAATGATTATAAAATTATTAAGTTTATTTTTTTAGATATTATGATAAAATATCTAATATAAAAATAAATAAATAAAAATTTATTAAATAAGTTTTAATTGAAAAAATAATCAAATTTTTTCAAAATGCGAATTATATTAAACATTTAATTATGATTTTTTTTTGTAAAAAAATAATTTATTAATAATATTTGATATAATAGTGATCTAAATTTATTATAAATTTTGTATATTTTAAAAAGTATTTAATAATTAAATTAAATTATTTTAGTTTTCAAGGATAATATTATAAATATTAGTTTTTATAATTTAATAACTTTGTAATAATTTAATTAATTTGTTTTTTGTTTTGTTTTATTTTAGTTTAACAAAACAAAATGTACATTTTATATTTAATTATTTAATTATATAATCATATTTTTATAATAGTAAAAATATTTTTCTTATATTGAATACTTGATCATGGTTAATTATTCAACAACAAAAAAATATCGTAAATGTGTAAATTATTATTAATGAAAAATTAAGCCAAAAAAAATTTTTAAATGATACGGCACATTTGATTGACACAATTTTTTTGCTACTAATTAATTTTATATTATCATAAAAATTAAATTAAGTTGATTATATATATACAGTATATAAAAATAATAAACTAAAAATTATGTCTATATTATTGAAAAAATACATTTTTTGTTGTAATTATTTTTAATATTTTCAATTTAAATTTAATATTATTTTTTTTTGATACTCATAAATGTATAAATAATTTTAAGTAATTTCTACTAAAAAACAAATGTAAACTTTTATTACAATATTATAGTAAACTAATTATTATTATTATAAAACTTTACTTTTTAATTTTGTAATTATTAAATATATTGCTAAATCATCTTTATCAATTTTTCACTATTTAATTACATTTTTTTAGTTAGTTAGTTAATGAATTTAATTATCATTTTATTACACAATGTTTTAATTTTTCAATTGACGTTAATATTGGAGTAAATTTTTTTTTAAAACAAAAGTATATAAGTAAAAAAATAAAAAAATTAAATACATTATTATATATTGTATATCATATATTATATATAATATTTTTTTTTTTAAAAATAAATTAATAAAATGAAATCAATTTTATACTGTTTTATAATAATTTTAATACAATTATTATTATTATTGCTTTCAATGTTAACTAATGGTAAGTTTATATAGTATTACTAATTGATAAAAAAAAATAATTTATTAAAAAAATAATTTTGTTGTTGTTTATTTTCTAGTTTTATTTAACAAAATTATTATCTATTTTCTAGTTTTATTAAATTACTTGAATTTGTTTTTAAATTACTAATGTTTAATATTATTTTTGTTGTTTTTTAAATAATTAATTTTTCTATATTTTTTAATATATTTTTTAAAAGTAATTTTCAATTATTTATTTTTTTATAAATTAATTAAAGGTATAGATTGCTATATATATAGTATCTTTAAAAAAATTATTTTTGTAATCAATATTTTTTATTTTTGGTTGAAAAATTATTTTCTAAATTTTTATATTTTATTTATTTATTTTTAATTTTAAAAAAATAAATATTATTTATAGATATAAACTGTGATTGCGGTGACAAACAAACTGGCTGTATGTTTGCCGGTGAGTTTATTGGGCTATGTATTGAAGGTTTATGTACCGATAAATTTTTTGGACTGTCCCCTACTATTAAAACTATACCATCACCATCATCATCATCATAAGCACCGGGAGGGTAACAGGGGGAGAAGGGGGGGGTATATAAAAAATACATACATTTATATTGCTAAAAAATATATAAAATATATTTCTAACACACTAAAAAAAATGTTGAAAAACTATATAAATTAAGTATTATTTTTTTATTGAAAAACAAATAAATTATTGTTTAATGTATTTTATAATAAGTTATTTATTATTGTTATATTGTTTTTTATTATGTTTATTATAATTTATTTAATTTTACAAGATGAATTTTATTATATATATATATATTTATTATGTTTTATTTCCTAATAAAATAAAAATTATATCAAACATTATTATATTTTGTTTTTTTTGTTGTAAATAAATATATTATCATTGTTTTTAAGTTTATATAATATATACTTTATTTATTGGTTAAAATGTTTTTTATTTATTTTTAAATTATGAAATTCAAATATATATATATATAAACTTATTTTACTTATTAAAAAAATACAATTTATAATAATAAAAATATTTAAGTACATTTTTATTTAGTTTAAAAACAATAAAATAATAATTTTTATTTTACATTTTTTTGTAATAATTTATAATAATTTTTTTCAATATAATTTTATATAACTATAATTTAATATATCATATAACAAAATATTAAGACAATAGACTGGTTTATTGAAAAACAATTTGATTGTGAAATTTTTTGATGATTTAAAAATAAACTAAAATATAAGTTAGTTTTTTTATACTAAATTTAATAATATAACAGTAATCTAATAAATATAATATTATTAGTTATTTATTTATATATATATTAAAATAAATTTCATATTTGATAAAAAATTTATTTAAGTTTTTCAAACTTATTTATAATCAGTAATAAGTTATCAGAAAAAAAATATTATTATAATTTTCTATTTAAGTAATAAAATGTTAAATAAATTAAATACCAATTATTTTCAAAATCATCTAGTAGAATTTGATTTTATTACAAAAATCTATTCAATTAATTTTAATAAATTACCAAGATCATCAACTGATCAATTATTAATAAAACTATTGCTAATCTATACATTGGTATCGTTAATTTGGTCTACGGTTGTCATCTTACGGGTAAATTATGAGGATATTAATTTACTACAATTATATATATCACCTGGCTACTATATTTCCAATCAATCGACTGCTACAATGTTTGATATGGCTGTAATATGTGTACGTATTGGTCAACTAATATATTTGCTAGATTATCTACTGTATGGTAATCAATGGCTAATTAAGCTAGATCAATTTTTTGCACTACATAAAATCATAATACTAACTGTCCAGGATGATCAAAAAATTAAACATATAATTTATCTAGCTAATAAATTTTATCGATTGGCAGCCATAATTGTTATACTAGGAGCAAATTTGGTTTTTATTGTATTGCCTATAACAATTAAATTAAAATTATTGCTAAATTATCCTGGATCATTTCTAATATACATAATTGATTCGCAAATTTTAATCAATATATACGGTATGTTAACAATACGTACAATGTTTGTACAATTAAGTCTATGTAAAATCTATCAAATACTATTTAGTAGTATTAATATGGAATTGATTGCGCAATCATCTAAAAATATACATAAATTACGTCTACTATTATTGCGTCACTCGTTAATATGTCAATCGTTACGTTACGCCAATGAATATATTGGACATAATTTTCTGGCATTAATTACAGCCTTATGTCCATTGACTAGCTATGTGCTAGTTAATTTTATGTTCAAACAAATTGACCAGGTACCTAAAATTATAATGTCACCATATTGTTCCTGGTATTGGTGATGCTATTGTATTTATCATGGTCGATAGCCCGGGTGGATATTCTAAGCAAATACGGTATGCATTCAGTACATAGTGTAGTAAATAGCGGCCGATTTGGCGGCGGAAATAAACAGTTAATATTTCAGGTAAATTATTATTACTTTTTTAATTAATATATATATATTATTTAAAATATTAAATTTTTTATCTTAAATATTTATTTTTTATTAATAAAAATTATTTAATTAAATAAAAGATAAGATTATATTTCAATCGTGTACTAAAATCGACAATCGGTTTGGAAATAACTGGTAAACCAATAAATGTCGAAAATATTTTTAATGTAATTATTTTTTTTAATATAAAAATTATGTATATAATAATTTTAACTATTTTTAAATTTTATTTTTTATATCTATAATTAGATTGTTACATTAACGATGACATATTTTTCCATACTAGTTAAAATGAGAAAAAATTCAAGTATATAATTTGAATATATATATATATTAAAATATTATTTATTTATTTAATATTATTGTCAATTATGGTTAAAAATTTAAAGTAATTTTTTAAAAAATTAAAATTTTTATTTTTAATAATTTAATGATAGTATATTGTACTAGTAGTTATTTAATAAACTTGTTTACTATATAAAYARTTATTTAATGTTTGTTGTATTAGTAAAGTATTTCATTAATTTTATTTTATATTTAAATAGTTTTTTGTTTAATATTAAATTTTAATAATATTTATTTTTTAATAAATTATAAAAATAATATTTATTTATTAGATTTTTTTTAGTTAATTTATGTAATGTAAATATTTATTATAATTATCTAAAATAAAAATAATTTAAACATATTCTATACTTTTTTTGAAAAATAATTAGCAAATTTTAATAAAATTTTTATTTGAATAGTTATAATTAATTTTTTATAAAAAAAATTATCATATGTTTTTAGCTTGCTTATTTCAATAAAAAAAATTCATATTATTATTATTATAGATTAAATAATGAACCTTTTAAATTAACATAATCAACACTAGCATGTAAATAGTTAATAGTTTCCAGATCAAATTGGCTAATACTTGTCGACACTAGATTAATGGTTTTTTAATGTTAGGGGTACAGGTGCTATGAGTTTAAATTGTTTTTAGACCAGGTGACTGACCAAAATCTAGATACCGGAGCTTTGAAAACCCATAGAAATTATCGATAAATTTTCTAATACCTGATTCACGTATTATCAATATTTCTAGGGTCTGTCCTAATGGTCGAAACCAATCTAGATTACTAAATACAGGTTCAGCTATACTACCAGTGCCGCTGCTGCCGATGCTCTGGTAGATAATAAGCCATTACCAGCCAATACATTAGCCAAACGTTGCCACTGGTCGGGACAGTAATGTTAGGACAGTTGACAACTCTAAACGATTCCACATTATTTGGCTATATTATCGAAAAATGACTGACCATTTGGTGTTGTTGTCACCGAAACGTTGAATTTTTGGTTAATTTTTACGAAATAATTTTACGTATGATTGTATTGGATGTACCGGTAAATGCACGGACCGGTAGGTTAGCGTACGGATAGTTGGCAATAGTTAACTGGTCTAACATATAGCCGGATAGTTGTCTAAATGTTTCCGWCAATTGTTTTAACGATCCGGTCATTGAACTACAGGTGACAGTTGTTTTGTATACAAARTCGTCGACTGTGTCCTACAATAAGGTATATAAATATATTAAAAATTTTATTTTTCTAAAAATAATAATAATAATTAATGAAAATGTTTTTGTATAATACATACAAATTTTGATTGACATACACAACCCGRTAGTAAATGAKTTGGCGGACAGGTATAACCAGATGACTGTCCCGATTGTGGTTTATGTAAAATCATTAATAATGTTATTAATAATGTTAATTGATTTATCGAAACTTTTTTTAATATCATATTTTTTGTTAATTAATTAATTTTAAGTATTTTTATTATTAAAAAAATAGTAGTAATAATACTAGCAGTTATTATTGTATGAAATAAACGAAAATTTTTTTTAACTAATTTTATTCTACTAATAATTTTAAATAACTTATATAAATGTTTTTTTAGATTTCATTAATTTTTTTATTTATATAATTTAACACGATTGTTTATAATTTTTTTAAATAATTGTTAAAACTCAAACATATATTTTTATATTATATAAAATAATTTTTGATTTAAATCAGTAATTATTCAAAAAAAATATTGTATTTATATTATTGAATATTTTTGTTTATTAAATTAAATTTGTTATATAAACAACAAAATTTATAAAATTGTTAATCTAATAAAATTAAAATCATAATTATAAATAGCTAACTGTTATTAAATTTATTTTTTATTTTATTTTTTAAATAAAAAGTACAATAATAGTAGTTGTATTAATAATAATAATTTAATAATATGAAAATTATTAATAATTTACAATATTTTCTATAATTATTTTTTTAATAATATAATTTAGCTTAATTAATACTTTACAAAATTATAGTATTATATATAATTTAATAAAACTAAAATGTACATGTAAAAAACATTTTATGTATTTTATAAATCAAAAATATAATAATATTTTAATAAAATAATTTTAATTATAAAATACAATTAATAAAAAAAACAAAATATTTTACTAAAATTTAATTAAATAATTATAAATAATTAATTAATTATGTTTATCTAAACATATTGAATAATAGGGTTGATTAACTAATTGTGATGGTATACCACATTTTGCACCATGAAACATTTTCAAAATTTTTTCATCATTAATTTTGTCTTTGACAATTATGTCACAGTTACAATCAAGATTGTTATTTCCTAAAAAAAACAAACAAAACAAAATAATAATTTTTAAAAAATCTAAAAGTTAAAATAATAAAAAGTAAGAAACTTAAAAAAAAGTTAATCTAAAACAGCAAATTCAAAAAAAAACTAAAAAGTGAAATAAAACTAAAAAGTTAAAAAACAAGAATAATAAAAAAAATTTAAATGTAAAATAAGCTACAAAAATATTAAATTTTATACCATTTAAATTGACATAGTCAACACTGGCCAGTAAATAGTTAATAGTTTGCCGATCAAATTGGCTAATAATTGTCGACTCTAGATTAATGGTTTTCAATGTTTCGGGTACAGGTGCTRTKAGTTTAAATTGTTTTAAACCAGATGACTGAGCAAAATCTAGATACCGGAGCTTTGGAAACGGTAGCAAATTGTCGACAAACATTTCAATACCTGATCCACGTATAATCAAYGTTTCKATGGTTGATCCTAACGGTCGAAACCAATCTAGATTAYTAAATACAGGTGCAGTTATACTACCAGTGCCGCTGCCGATGCTCTGGTAGATAACCAGCTCACGTAGTCGTGWCCTACTATTATTATCAACAATACTAGTTGATAACAATAATTGACCAAGTTCATCTAGAATACTAGTGCCGMCGCCAGCTAATAAACTAGCCAAACGTGGCCATTGAACCGTTAAAATATTAGGACAGTTGACAACTCTAAACGATTCCACATTATTGGCTATATTGTCGAAAAATGACTGACCATTGCTACCAATAAATCTGAGTAATTGTTGCGAGTTTTCTATAGTAATCTTACGTATGATTGTACTATCGGTGAATACCCGTACCGGTAGGTTAGCGTACGGATAGTTGGCAATAGTTAACTGGTCTAACCTATAGCCGGATAGTTGTCTAAATGTTTCCGACAATTGTTTTAGCGAACCAGTAAGTGAACTACAGGTGACAGTTGTTTTGTATACTAAGTCGACTGTACTCTACATTTAAATACAAATTTATATATAATTTTTATTAAAAAAAAATTATTTAATTAATTTTATCAGAAAAAATTGATGAAAATTATTATACATACAAATTTTGATTGACATACACAACCAGTGTTTGGCAGATTGGGTGGACAGGTATTTCCAGATGACTGTCCTAACAGTGGTTTATACAAAATCATTGATATTATTATTATTGTCAAAACTTTTTGTAATAGCATTTTTTCAATTATTACTTTTTTATATAAAAAATAGTAATAAACAGTTATTAAATACAAAAAAATAAAAAATAAAACTATAATTATATTCTACTAATAATTTGAATAAGTTTTTATATACTAATTTATTTTTCTTATTATTTATAATAAATTTTATAAATTGACATGCTTGTTTATAAAAATATTTTATTTAAATGTAAAAATTCCAAAAAATTTTGTTATAATATAAATATTTATAAATAAGTAATAATTATAAATTATTTCTAGTTTATATTACTTAAATTATTAGTCTACATTTAAAAAAACAAAATTATTATTATATTTTAAATAACTTTAATATATTGATAAAAATTTTTATATAAACAACAAAAATTGTTATTATTATTCTAATAAAATTATATGTAATTATTATTAATAATAATAATAATTAAAAACATTAATACAAATAGATAATAGCTATTTAAATTTATATTTATTTATTTTAATTTTTAAATACAATAGTTGTATTATTATTATTATTATTATTAAATAAATAAATTATTAATTTTTATAATATTTTCTATAATTAATTTTTATATAATAATATACAGTAATATAATTTAGTTTAAATAATTTTATTTTTTATTAAACAATTATAATTAAATTTTCATAGCACATTGTGTCCCATAGGGTAACCCTACCATAGATACCGGTGTCGAGCACCTGGAGCCAGCAAAACGATCATTTTCATGGTGTTGTTGTTGTACTAGTATTGTTGATATAGTAGTAGTAGTAGTAGTAGTCAATGATGTCAATATACCAATATCATCGCACCAGCATGATAATTTATTATCTATAATTGATTTAATTAATTAATTTTTAATTAATTTTTAATTAATTTACTTTACAAACTTTAAATAGTATTATAAATAATTTATATTAATAAATAATAAAGTGTACATARAAAAAATATATTAGTAGTATTTTTTTATAATTTATAAATTTAATAATATAAATATTTATTATAAATTATAAACTGTAACTAATTAATTGTAGATAATTTTATATTGATAAATTAAAATTTTATATTTTAACATATTGACTGTAATATATAGTAATTTATCTAACTATAGATAAAAATTATTATTACCGGTATTATTTTTTTAATGTTATGTTTTAATATTTACTAATTGGATATAGCTAGCATACACATACACATACACACATACACACATACACACATACACACATACACACATACACACATACACACATACACACATACACACATACACACATACACACATACACACATACACATACACACATACACACATACACACATACACACATACACACATACACACATACACACATACACACATACACACATACACACATACACATACACATAGTAGTTAAAAAATTTAGTAACTTACATTTTAAATCAACAAATGGCACCCGGCTCAAATAGGCAAGTGTTGTCGCATCAAATCTAACCAGTCCGCACCCGCTCAAATTAATTGCACCCACTGTCCCAGATAGTGGGCCCAGTAGGCTAAATGTTTCCAATGTCGGTGTATGGGATAGATCAGTAACTGGAGTCTGGTAAACACCGATAGGTTAGCCGAAAATACTTGCATACCTGAGCCCCTGATGATCAGGTGTTCCAATGTTGCCGATACGGGTAGAAAACTGGACAAATCGGTAATCGATGGACTGACCGGTTGTTGTTGGTTGAGATGATGACCACTGTTGACAATAACCAGTTCACGGAGTATAGGACCGCCGCCACCGCCGCCTCCAATATCGTTGGCCATCAGTTGCCACTCGTCTCGTCCTATATTCGGACAGTTGGCTATAGCTATGGCCTCCAAAGTACGKCCAATATTACCGCCGAAAAAAGTCCGGCTCTTAGTGTTGTTGTTATTATTACCGAACGACTGGAGTTTTGGCGAGTTTTTATGACCAGTCGGCGGATAATTGCCGTCCCATTGATGAATACATTGGCCGACGGAAGTTCACCGAACGGATAGTTGGCTAGTATTAGGTCATCGATTGAGTAGCCGTTGAATTGTTGGCCAAATAGTWGGCCTAATTTGTCCACTGATTCAAGTTTTTTYGWYGATAGTCCTGAACATGTGACCACCAGTTTGTAGGTATAGTCGACTGTACTCTATATATATACAGTRTATGTTAGTTAATGATAGGTTAGGTTTAGGATAGTTATGATTATTATTAGAGAGACAGAGAGACAGAGACAGAGAGACAGAGAGACAGAGAGACAGAGAGAGAGAGAGAGAGAGAGAGAGAGACAGAGAGAGACAGAGAGAGACAGAGAGAGAGAGAGAGAGASAGAGAGAGACAGAGAGAGACAGAGAGACAGAGAGAGAGAGAGAGAGAGAGAGAGACAGAGAGAGACAGAGAGACAGAGAGAGAGAGACAGAGAGAGACAGAGAGAGAGAGAGAGAGAGACAGAGAGAGAGAGAGAGAGAGACAGAGAGAGACAGAGAGAGAGAGAGAGAGAGAGAGAGAGAGAGAGAGAGAGAGAGAGAGACAGAGAGAGAGAGAGAGAGACAGAGAGAGAGAGACAGAGAGAGAGAGAGAGAGAGAGACAGAGAGAGAGAGAGAGAGACAGAGAGAGAGAGAGASAGACAGAGAGAGAGASAGAGAGACAGAGAGACAGAGAGAGAGAGAGACAGAGAGAGAGAGAGACAGASAGACAGAGGAACCGGTAGTTATGTATAATTAGTTAATAAAGTATTATTATTATTATAGATATATATGACATACAAATATTGTTTGACACCGACACCCAGGTATGGCATTTGCTGGACTATAGCACCGGTATTTTGGGGCTAACAGTGCCGTCATAGTCATTGACAATAGATATGTACTGATAATAATGTTAAATATAAATAATTTTGTTACAAACATAATAACTTATATATAATGTATATAATAATACTAATTAATAATAATTGGTATATAATTTAAAATATTTAATTATTATTATTTTGTTAATAAAAATAAAACTTCAATAATTACACATAAAAATTATGATTATTTAATAAGTTTTTTATATTTATTTATTATCTGTAAAATAATTATGTTTTTTACACATTTATCATAATATATTTCAATTAATAAAAAAAAATTAATTGTTTTAATTATTATTATTATTTTGTTTAAATATACAGTTAATAATAWATTTTTTAAATATTATTTTTTTWAAATTGAATAACAAATATATGTTTTAAATATTATAATTTTGAAATTTTATTTATAYTTTCTGTTTGAATAATAAATTATTAAATTATATTAAATAAAAGCACGTTTAGTAGGATTTACTTAAATTTTTTTAAAAAAAACATTATTTTATTAAATTATAATAAATTTTTCTAGAAWTTAATTTATTATATTTATATAACCAAAAAAAACTCATTATATATATATATATATATATATATATATATATATATATATATATATTTAAACTACAAAYTGATAAATTAGTTATACTTTATATATATACATCAATATATATAAAATAAACATTAATAAAATATCTATGAATATTTTTTATTTTTTTTGTTATTTATTTATAATATATTTTCAATAATTTTTATTTTAGGAAAGACTATTTTTAACTAAAATAAAATTATTGATTAAACTAATTTAAATTATTTTGACATTAAAAAAATTTTGGCTCATTATATAAAAAATATTAAGTTTATTGAAAAAATATTAATTAAAAAAAATATAATAATTAAAATAAACATACTAACTGTTTCAATATTAAAACAACTCATTTTAATTAATTAATTAATTTGCTTTATATTTTTCATCTTTATAAAAAAAACCATATGTAATTTTAATTAATTAAAAATAAATTCATATATTTTATATGTTATTAATTTTATGCATTTAATTAGTTTTAATTTAAACAAACTAACAACATAAAAAAAWAAAATGACTCATCASAATMAACTAGTAATTATAATGTTTATCCGATTGATGGTGATGATGATGGTCATCCTAGTTAGTCAGCATTATCATTATCATTATCAAGTTGAATGTAATGGCATACTAGATGTTCTAGATATGTCAGATTCGATTATAAATGARGTTTTAGGCGATGAYGATACTACTACTACTACTACTACTACTGCTGCTGGGCATCCTATTGTCATGGTAACATCATCTGGGCAAAATTCTAAAAATTTGACAAAAATGGCGGCTGCCGCTATTCCTACTGCTATCAATGTTAATACAGCTGTTACTGGTAAATATATATATATAAATATATATATATATATAAAGTAAAATATACACACACATAAACAAATAAATAAGTATATTTTTTTATTAACTTAATTTTTAGATAAAAAAATTAATAAATTTATACATGATAAAATTATTTAAATAAAGTTTACAATGTATATATATATTAGTTGCCACCACCAACACCGCAACCAACTGTCCACCAATAACGCCAAGTTTTTGGCCTAAAAATGAAAAATTTTCCGATTATCGATTGCAATACAAATYSCTGAACGTATCGGATATTAATAAACTAATCAATCAAACATTGGATAAACAATGTCAGCTAGCTCGTATATTGGGTAATTGGCTGAAACAMAATAAACTAGACTATATAGCTGAACAATCCTACARTGATTGTCAATTTGAACTTGATGATAATCAACGGGTTATGCAAACAATTTCAAAACTGGTCAACCTAGATGAACGTTTAGAACATACCATTAGACAATTACGTTGGCTAGACTATAGGACAATGTTTTTTATTAATTCGATTAAACGTGTTAGAAATTGTACGTTCGATGAAATTGTTAGCTATGTTAATATATCGGATGTAAACCAATTGGTCAAATTGGTTACCAATGGTCATCGGGAAGCATTGAACGAATTGGCTAATGAAGTGGAATCGGATCGTCAAAATGTTGGTAAAAATTTTTGGATACAATTGGATACACAGGTTAGTTGTCATTTAAKTATTAATTGTATTATTATTATTAGTAGTAGTAGTATTATTATTATTATTATTATTATTATTAGTAGTAKTAGTATTATTATTATTATTATTATTAGTAGTAGTAGTAGTAGTAGTAGTAGTAGTAGTAGTAGTAGTAGTAGTAGTAGTAGTACTAGTAGTAGTAGTAGTAGTAGTAGTAATACTTTTATATGTAGTAGTAGTAGTAGTAATACTTTTATATGTAGTAGTAGTAGTAATAGTAATATATTAATATATAATGGTTTTATTTCTGTTACTAATTAAAAATATAATATATTTAACTATCTATCAATATATATATATATATATATAAAATCAATATATTGTTTATTTCTATTTTCMTTTTTTTTATTTCTAAAAAAAAATCAATTCTGATTATAATAATAATTATYATTATTAGACATTAGATGAATATAAGGTTTTATACGCCAATGAGGACAAACAGTTGGCCCAATTGAMGYCGGATTCGATCAAAATTCCRACAATGAGACTAATRATATTCAAATTACAATATCTAAATCGTATCTATAAAGTTATACATGATTAGATAGTATTAATAGGAATAATATATTAATAATAATAATTTTTAAATTTTTTTAAATATATTTATTTATTTTTATATAAATGTTTTTTTAATGATAATTATAGAGGTATATTTTATTTATTAAATAAATAAATATACATATGAAAATATTTATTTTTAAATTAAATATTAAATTTATTATACTCTATAATGTATACACTATATTGTAATATAAAAAATAACCAACAACAAAAACTTATCTTGTTTATAAGGTATAATATATATATATATATGAAATTTGAAAAAAAATTAAAAATTATAAATAAAATTATTTGGACAGACAGACAGACAGACAGACATATAGAATTCAGATACGTACTCTTATTATGTGTTCGTGAAAAAAACATTAGACTATTTAATCAGAGTTGCTAAAAATTTTCAATTTCAGAGGGATATAGGGGGTAAAGATGATTTTTAACGTTATTTTTAACTAATTTGCTTGTTTTTAATCAATAATTATATTCAAAATAAGTCTAGAAATAGAAAATTTATATAAAAAAAAATTAAATTTAATAATATAAAATAGTAAATAAAAAATTTTTTAAACAAAAATAATTTAAAAATCATAAAAAATGAGTCTTTTAATAAAAATTTTAGATGTTATTTTTAGATGATTTTTAACGTTATTTTTAACTAATTTGCTCGTTTTTAATCAATAATTAGATTCATATAAAATTTTAAAACAAAAAAACTTACTAAAATAGTATTAATTAAAAATTAAATTTTTATAAATTTCTAAATTTATTCAAAATCTCATTATTATTATGATAATTAATAAAAAAATACAATTATTTAGTTTTGAAAAAAATTTGAATTAATTAAAAATTTAATAATATAGTACTTTATTTATTATTACGTCTAAATAATAATAATAATAATAATAATATTTTCAGAAATAATTATTAATTATATTTTTAAATAAATTATTTAAAAATATATTTTAATATAGTATTTCATATTGACAYATAACTAACACATTTTTTWATATAAAGATTATAAAATATTAATWWTTAATGCTAAAAAATTTTATTAGAARTATTATAGTWGGAATTATAGTTTTTTTTATAACAATTTTTATAWTTRAAAAAATTAAAACAAAATGTTTATATTTATATATATATATTAATTATTATTAATATCAAAAATAATAGAATTTATAACAATAATAATAATAATTCATTAGAAAAATTAATTAATTAATTAATTATTGTTTAATAGCAGTAATTCTCAGCAATTGATGATAACGTTTGACTTCCTTAACGTTAGGATCGGCCAAAAACTGTTGCCAAGCCCTGGGATTCGGGCCGCCAATAGCTAACGGGTTGACCATTGCATCGAAAGCCGTATCCCATAAGTGATCGTTTAGTTCGCTATCGAAATCTTTAGGATCGTTGAAAAACTTTCTAAACTTTGATATCAGTATTGGCATAAAGTCTAGAAATAGAAAATTTATATATATATATATATAAATAAATAAAATTTAATAATCATAAAATAGTAAATAAATTTTTTTTTAAAACAAAAAAATAATTTAAAAATCATAAAACAAAATGAGAGAGAGAGAGAGAGTCTTAAACAGCGGCGATGCTATTAATTTTACAATTATCTGGTGCCAACAATACGTTGGATTTATTTTAAAGTAACCAAGGGTGGTGGGTAATGTTGTTTTTATTTAATATTTTTTTTATTTTTTTTAGAGAGAGAGAGAGAGAGAGAGAGAGAGAGAGAGAGAGAGAGAGAGAGAGAGAGAGAGAGAGAGAGAGAGAGAGAGAGAGAGAGAGAGAGAGAGARAGAGAGAGAGAGAGAGAGTCAGAGAGAGAGAGAGAGAGAGTCTTAAACAGCGGCGCCGTCGACGACAGCGGCGATGCTATTAATTTCATTATTTTTTAGATTTTTATTTTTAGATTTAGATTTAGATTTAGATTTAGATTTAGATTTTAGATTTAGATTTAGATTTAGATTTAGATTTAGATTTAGATTTAGATTTAGATTTAGATTTAGATTTAGATTTAGATTTAGATTTAGATTTAGATTTAGATTTAGATTTAGATTTAGATTTAGATTTAGATTTAGATTTAGATTTAGATTTAGATTTAGATTTAGATTTAGATTTAGATTTAGATTTAGATTTAGATTTAGATTTAGATTTAGATTTAGATTTAGATTTAGATTTAGATTTAGATTTAGATTTAGATTTAGATTTAGATTTAGATTTAGATTTAGATTTAGATTTAGATTTAGATTTAGATTTAGATTTAGATTTAGATTTAGATTTAGATTTAGATTTAATCATATAATTAATTAATATCAAAAATGACCAATTACAATCTTATCCAGTTCACAAAAAAAATTATCGAACAACATTACCCACCACCTTGGTAACTTTTTTTTTWAAAAAAAATCCAACGTATTGTTGACACCAGATAATTGAAATTAATAGCATCGCCGCTGTCGTCATCGTCGTCGTCGGCGCCGCTGTTTAAGTCTCTCTCTCTCTCTCTCTCTCTCTCTCTCTCTCTCTCTCTCTCTCTCTCTCTAACTCTCTCTAACTCTCTCTAACTCTCTCTAACTCTCTCTAACTCTTTCTAACTCTCTCTAACTCTCTCTCTCTAACTCTCTAACTCTCTCTGTCTCTCTCTCTCTCTCTCTCTCTCTCTCTCTCTCACTGACTCTCTCTCTCTCTCTCTCTCTCTAACTCTCTCTCTCACTGACTCTCTCTCTCTCTCTCTCTCTCTCTTTCTCTATAAAAAAATTTAAAACTATTAAATAATATTAAATTAGCATCGCCGCTGTCGTCATCGTCGTCGGCGCCGCTGTTTAAGTCTCTCTCTCTCTCTCTCGCTCTCTCTCTCTCTCTCTCTCTCTCTCTCTCTCTCTCTCTCTCTCTCTCTCTCTCTCTCTCTCTCTCTCTCTCTCTCTCTCTCTCTCTCTCTCTCTCTCTCTCTAACTCTCTCTAACTCTCTCTAACTCTCTCTAACTCTCTCTAACTCTCTCTAACTCTCTCTAACTCTCTCTAACTCTCTCTAACTCTCTCTCTCTCTCTCTAACTCTCTCTCTCTAACTCTCTCTAACTCTCTCTAACTCTCTCTAACTCTCTCTCTCTAACTCTCACTCTCTAACTTTCTCTAACTCTCTCTCTCTCTAACTCTCTCTAACTCTCTCTCTATCTATCACTGACTCTCCCTCTCTCTCTCTCTCTCTCTCTCTACTGACTCTCTCTCTATTACTCTCTCTCTCTCTCTCTCTCTCTCTCTCTCTCTCTCTCTCTCTTACTATCTCTTTATCTCTCTTTCTCTAAAAAAAATTTTAAAAAAATATTAAATAATAAAAAATACCAATCATTTTCTGTCTATCCGTAGTCCAACAGACATCTATAGTCTCGAACTGTTTAATCAGTAACTGATTATCCATTGATTGTAGACATTGACGCCAATTGTCGGCTTGTTTTTCGGGCGATTCATACCATTGTTTTTTCATAGGCCAACCATAACTGGCCAAACGTTTGTTAATATCTTCTTTGAGTTCAATATTTGCATGAATCATACCGCCCGTAGACAACAAGTGGCCAATAGTGTCCATCAGTTGACGTTTATCCGGAATATAACCAAACGATAGATTAGCAAATATTAGATCCACTTTGCAGTCCAATTGCCTAACCCGGGGACTCATATCCGGCCATTTTCTACCCATATCTTGCAATTGATAATCAATACTAGAGTCCGGATTATTAGTGCGGGCATAGTCTAACATTTCGGGTAAACAATCGATGGCCACAATCCGTTTATGCGGGATATGTTTGGCTAAAAAATTTTTCGTAACATCACCATCACCGCAGCCTAAGTCAACAATCAGATCGTATGATCTGTTAATTAAAATTTAAATTAAAATTTAAATTAAACAAACAAATTATAATTTTAATTAATTAAAAAAAAATTTAAAAAAAAATAATTACTTGCTATACGATTTTATAATGCTAATTGATTGCATTGCTAATAATTGGACATTACTTTTTTGTCTAGCATATACACTGGGTTCAATTTGATCCATGGTTAGGTTAATTTTTTTAGAGATTTTTTTTTTAATTAAAAATAATTTAATTATTAAAAATATATATATATATTATATATCTTAAAAATAAAATAATAACATTAATAGATTATATATATTATAAAGCTCTCTCTCTCTCTCTCTCTCTCTCTCTCTCTCTCTCTCTATAAAAAAGTAATTATTTTACTAAATAATATTTAACTGTTAAATATTATTAAATATATAGATAAAAAAAATGTTTTGTAAAACATGATACTAATTTTTTCAAATTTTTAATAGTCATATTTTTTTTAAAAAAAAATTAATACTAGTCATCGTACATAAGTTTTAATTGTAGAAAATTTTTTACTTTTCATTTAATCATTATTTAATTTTTTAGTCAAAATAAAATTATTAAAGTATAATAAATATTGATATATAGACGAAAAATATAATCTATATACATCAACAACAACAAAAAATAGCCATGCTCAATTTAACTATAAAATAGATTTAATTAAAAAATAAATAAATCTGATCTGTTAATAAATTAAATTAAACAAACAAACAAAAAATTATAATTTTACTATAATTATATAATTAATTAAAAAAATAAAATTAAAAAAATTATTATTAGTTAAAAAAAAAAGATTACTTGCATTACTTTAAACGGCAATTTTTTCAAAAATCCCAAAATATCGATATTAGGGGGGTTATTTTTGGCCTTACCCCCCCTCTATCCCCACCTACTTAACCCTGACTCTACATATATATTTACAATTTATATTATTTTTAAAAAATATTATTATAATATGCACCCGTATAATTTTTTTTTAATGACATAATTTATATTATAATAATAATATAAATTATTATTAATATATATACAGTATATATACTATATTTATACTGTATTTATACTGTATTTTATAACAATTAGCTATTTATTTATTACTAGTAATAACGCAATATTTTTCTTATATTTTATATATCAAATTGTATTTATTTCTATATAAAAAAAAATAAAAATAAATGCTAATAATTAATATTACTGTATATTTATAATAATATGATATATAAATTATGATATAGTATAATATCATATTTTTTTGATAATTTTTATTTATATGTCAAAATAAATAATAATAATAAGAAAAAAGATTAATTATTTTTTTTAATACATTATTAAGTTTATATAAGTTTTATTTATATATTTATATTATATATTTATATTATATATATATACTGTATATGTAATAGTAAACAGTCAATAATAGGAGACTGTAATTATATACAGTATATTATTATTTAGTTTAATAAAATGTATTATTATTTTAAAGGAAAAATATTATAATTTATTTTTAGTTTTTTTTAGATTAAATTATATTATATTACTTTAAAAAAATCAAAGTTAACTTAATGTATGTTTTGTTTTTGTTTTTATAAATAAATATTTTAACCTAGTGTATTTAAATTTATTAAAATATATCATCATAATCATTTATTAAATAATAATTTTTTAAAACTATTAATAATTATTTGTTTTAAAAAATAAAAATTAATAATAATTATTAATATAATTATATTATCTATATTTTCAGTGTTGTAATAATTAATAATAATTTATTAATAATATCTAATAATCTAAATTAATAATACATAATAATATTAATTAATAATACATAATAATATTAATTAATAATATCTAATAATATTAAGTAATAATACATAATAATATTAATTAATAATATCTAATAATATTAAGTAATAATACATAATAATATTAATTAATAATACATAATAATATTAATTAATAATACCTAATAATATTAATTAATAATACATAATAATATTAATTAATTAATAATACCTAATAATATTAATTAATTAATTAATAATACCTAATAATTAAATGGCACATCATCATCATCACCATGGTGATCATATATATCATAGTAGGCAGGAGCTTATTGATGATGATGATAATAATAATAACGGGGATATACCTACTGGGACTACTACAACAATAAATCACCATGATCAACAACAACAATCAGCCTACAATGATCTTGAACAATTTCTCGGACGTTACTATGTAATGGTAGCCCAATCATTCAAACAGTATACCCAAGGGGTACAACCATCCCCGGGTAGACTGGCCAAAGTTGGCTGGATGAAACTATCCGACCTATTGTTTATCATACGTTTTACTTTGATAATATTTCTATCACCATCGACCAAAAAATCGCAACCATGGCTCCAGTATCTGCTTGGCGATGCCTATACCGGTGACTATCTACTGGTATGCGGTGTACTTGTCCTAGGCCATTTGACAACAATGGCCCTGAGCTATCAACTACTAGCCCTCGAGCTAAATGGCCAGATGACTGTCTACGATTATTTGGATCGTATACCCAGTGGTCGGCTCCGGTATCAACTAAACCCCCGATATATGAATCAATTCCAACGGACAGTCAGATTCTACAGGCGCTATATGTCCGATCGGTTTCTATGGTTAATGACCCTGAACTCCCTGATCATGAATATTAAGCCACCAATTCAACGCTATCTCCAAAAACCAATGGATATCCTATTACTGGGGAGTGTCCTATTTTGGACAGTCGACTCCCTGTATGGTGTCTTGAATTTTTATGCTGTATTCATTGGTATGTCTAGATTTTGGACTACTAGTCTAACCTATTTGCGGCTACAGTTTCGCCAATGTAACCAAACAATTGATTGGTCTATGCGTTCCGAAAATACCTGGGTACTGACCCGGGCACTCAAGCATCATCACCATTGTTGCCAGTATACTACCCAATTGAACCGGGTTATCTGTATACTAATGTTTATTATACAAACATCGGCAGCATCGGCCCTAAATCTGGCCCTATTTGTTGCCCAATCACCCCAAACCCGTCCGGGAACCCGACTATCAACGGGTATTATATTCCTGGGTTGTTCGGCCCTAATATTTACTCTGAACCTAAAGTGTGCAGCAGTTACCCGGGCAGCTCATCTACCCTATCGTCGGGTATTCCGATTGTTACAATGGAAACAGCTATCGTTGGACAGTCGTCTAAAGGTTAGCCGTTTTATTGAACGATTATCCGTGGGTCCGAAAATTGGGTTTTATTGTCTAGATTTGTACGAAATGAATTCAAATACATTTTATTTATATACGGCAGCCTGGTGCTATAACTATATAATGGTTACCAAGTTTATCTATAAAACTGGTATATTATAAAATAAAAATTTTTAGTATTTTAATTTTTCTAATATTTTAATTTTAGCCAAAAAACCTAGTTAAAATATTTTTTGTTGTTAAAAAATAAATTTCTATTATTATATATATTTTTAATTTAATTATGTATTTATTGTTTATTTTATTATTTGTTTGTTTTTTTTGGTTAATAATTAATTTTTTTTATATTTTTTTTGTTACAATACTATGATGATAATAATATTTTAAAAATTGTTATTGTAATTTTTATATTTATTTTTGTTTATTATAATAATTATGTTTTTTTAATTATTATAATTATGACAATAATAATAATAATAATAATTGTTTTTTTAATATTTTTATTATCTATTTTTATTAAACCAAAAAAAATTTATTGATTTATCTATTTTAATGTATCTTTTAATCTATTAATTTATGTGATATTTATGTTATATTATTTTAAATAATAAATATTTTTATTAACTATAAATTTTATACAATATTATTACCAGTACAGTAAACTTATTGTTAAATATATTTATTTAAATTATTTACTGTTTATATAGTGTGTAGTACTTAATAATTTAAATCGTAAATATTATTAACTTTTTTTTAAATAATTATTATTTTAATGATTATAAAATAAAATATTTAGTATAATAATAGGTATATGATTTGAATAATATTTTATTTATATTTAGAAGCAATAATAATAATAATAATTATTATTATTATTATTAAAAGCAATTAAAAAAAATTTATTATTTTTTTAATATAATTTATTTAGTTATTTATTCAAAAATCATAATGTCATAAAAAAATATATTTTTTAATTATTATTTTGATATTTTTAAAAAATATTATTTTGATATTAAAAAAACAAAACTTTATTATTTTACATAAGTTAGTAATTTATTGCATATATTATTAAATAAAATATTGAAATAAAAAATTAAAATAATAACTTTTAAACATTAAAACAACGCATTTTAATCAATTAATTAATTAATTATTAATATATATTTTTTAAAAACGTGTAATATATTTTAAATTATATAAATTTTTTAAAAATCATACTAAAAGACAAAAATTATTATTTTTTATTTTTAGTTATTAAATTAATTTGTCCTATTATTGAAAACAAATTAATTTAACTAAATGTATTTTTTAAAATTATTATTATAATATGCAAATAAACTGCTAATAATTTTCACGAATTCCTGAAAGGAATACGTATATGCATTCTATAAGTCGGTTTGTCGGTCTGTCTGTCCCACGAGGACATAAGTTCGAATCCACTATCTACTACAATTTTTTTTGATTTTTTTTTTGCTTTTTTTTAAGTTTATTTTTTAGGAAATTGAAGAAAGTGGTGTTCAAAAATTAATTTAAAAAAAATTTGAATTTTTTTTTATTTTTTTTTTGATTTTTTTTCGTTTTTAAGTTTATTTTTTAGGAAAATAGTAGTTTATTTTGTAATACTGAATCATTTGATACCCCACATGACTATAGTTTTTATTTTGTCATACTAAATCGTTTGATACCCTACATAACTATAGTTGATTTTATTTTATCATACTGAATTTAATTTTTAATTATGATTAGGAATTCGTTTGGAAATGCTTTCTAGCATTCTCAACTGGTTTCTAATGCATTTTTACACAACACATTTTAAAAATTTTATTAATTAAATTTTTAATTAAAATTTTTTTTTTAAAAAAAACCAACCATATGTGATATTATTAATTATATGAAAAATAATTTATAATAAACGACTAAAAATATTTTATTTTTAGTTATTTGATTAATTTATTTAACAAACAAACAAACAAATATAATGACTCAGCAAAATCATCTATTGATTATATTGAACGTATTGATTTTGATGATGATGATGATCATCCTAGTTAGTCATCATCATCATCATCAAGTTGAATGTAGTGGTGGTGGTGGTGGTGATGGTATGCTAGATATGCCCGAATCGTTTATGAATGATTTTTTTGGTGATGATAGCGCTAAAAAAGTGTCTAGAAAAAACAAACATGCTAAACCAACTAGCGTTGACAAAAACGATGATGCTGCTGATGATGCAGATGATAATGATCATGATGATAATCCTACTACTATTACTACTACTAGTAGTAGTAGTAGTAGTGACTCTATTGTTAATACTGCTGCCGGTGCAGCTCCTGGTACCGCCATTGTTAATACAGCTGCCGGTACAGCTCCTGGTGCCGCCATTGGAAATACTGCTGCCGGTCCAGCTCCTGGTGCCGCCATTGGTAATACTGCTGCTGGCGGTCCAGCTCCTGGTGCCGCCATTGGTAATACTGCTGCTGGCGGTTCAGCTCCTGGTGCCGCCATTGGTAATACTGCTGCTGGCGGTCCAGCTCCTGGTGCCGCCATTGGTAATACTGCTGCTGGCGGTTCAGCTCCTGGTGCCGCCATTGGTAATACTGCTGCTGGCGGTCCAGCTCCTGGTGCCGCCATTGGTAATACTGCTGCTGGCGGTCCAGCTCCTGGTGCCGCCATTGGTAATACTGCTGCTGGCGGTCCAGCTCCTGGTGCCGCCATTGGTAATACTGCTGCTGGCGGTCCAGCTCCTGGTGCCGCCATTGGTAATACTGCTGCTGGCGGTCCAGCTCCTGGTGCCGCCATTGGTAATACTGCTGCTGGCGGTCCAGCTCCTGGTGCCGCCATTGGTAATACTGCTGCTGGCGGTTCAGCTCCTGGTGCCGCCATTGGTAATACTGCTGCTGGCGGTCCAGCTCCTGGTGCCGCCATTGGTAATACTGCTGCTGGCGGTCCAGCTCCTGGTGCCGCCATTGGTAATACTGCTGCTGGCGATCCTGCTCCTGGTACCGCCATTGTTAATACAGCTGCCGGTACAGCTCCTGGTGCCGCCATTGGTAATACTGCTGCTGGCGGTCCAGCTCCTGGTGCCGCCATTGGTAATACTGCTGCTGGCGGTCCAGCTCCTGGTGCCGCCATTGGTAATACTGCTGCTGGCGATCCTGCTCCTGGTGCCGCCATTATTAATACTGCTGCCGGTGCAGCTCCTGGTGCCGCCATTATTAATGCTGCTGCCGGTCCAGCTCCTGGTGCCGCCATTATTAATACTGCTGCCTTTGCAGCTCCTGGTACCGCCATTGTTAATACAGCTGCCGGTCCAACTCCTGGTGCCGCCATTGCTAATACTGTTTCTACTACAACTAGCTATAGTACCGGTGCCGCTAATGCTAATCCTAATACTAAAAACCATTGGTAATTATTGCTACACAATGTTAAAATTGAAATCAATTTTTATAATAATATTATAACTGTTATTATTATTAGTTTGAAAATGTTTTAATAAATTAATAAATTAAATTTATTGTTTTCTAAAAAAATTGTATTAATTATAAGAATAATGATTTTAATTTTTTAGAACCAATTGTCAATAAAATTAAAACAAATTTACTCAATCAATTTTAAACACTTATAATAATAATATATATTTGTTTAAATAAAGTTTTGTTTTTAAAAATATACTAAAATATTTATTATTTAAACAACTGTAATTAATTAATTACCCCCAAATATTAGCTAGGTAAATTTAAATATTTTTAAATTTTTAATTAGTTAATAAATCAATGTGAGTAACTGTTTGCTTTTTTCGTATTTTAATTTTAACTTGTTAAGTTTTTAACTATGATAATTAATTTTTTAAATATAATTAAATGTTATTTTATTGAAACTTATAAAACTTATTTTTTAAACTACAGTAAAAATTATTTGCAAATAATATTTTATAATTAAATACATGTTTATTTTGTAAAACAAATTTATACAGATCAAATATTTAATATTTTATTTTAATTAAATTATTATTAATAAAATATTGATCTAAACAAAAATATATTATTAGTTTATTATTAATAATAATAAAATTTTTAACAATAATATTTCTATAAATCGTATTAAATAATTTACTTATTAATTTAAATTAGACTAAATAAATTTTAATATTTTTATTGTTTTTTATTTTTTTATTATTATTATTAGTTTAATGTAGATTATTATGAAAATAAAACTATGAAAACAAAAATTTCTAATATTAATATAATAAATAAATATTAATTTTAATATTTTTTATGTGGGTGTTTGTATGTGTTTTCAATATGTAATAAATTACACAAAAATAAAAATAAATAAAAACTTAAAACTAAAAAAAAATAAAACTTAAAATATATAACAATAATGTCAATAAAAAAATATATGCACATTTAATTACTTAAATATTTAAAAATAAAATAAAATAAAAAGCATATTTAATTAATTTATTTTAACAAAAAAAACAATTGATTAATAAATCTATTTTTCTACAAAATTAATATACAATATATTTTTTTGGCAAAATAATTGTGAAAAAAAACAAATATTAATTTTTTTTAAATATTTATAATATTATTATTATTATTGAAAATTTAATTTAAATTATTATTTATAAAATTGTATGAATACTACTGTATATGTTATGACAATAGACAGTCCGGTCCATATGATTGACGATTGAATGGTAAACAGTGAACAAGCGGTCAAATCGATAGGTTGTCGGCGTATATGTGCTAACAGTGCCGTCAATTGGTGTAAACAATCGCCGGTTATAGTTGTGTCCAGCGATTTGTAATATTGATCCGTCAATGATGTATAGGTTTGACGGGATTTGTTTGACATATTAATTGAACTAATTGTTAGCCAAATATAGTTAATTGTATAAAATATTAGACGATTTACGCTTATAATCAAATCAAACCAATTGCCTATTGTTTGTTATTATAGCGAAACAAAAATTAATCAATTAATTTCAAAAAGTTTTTATTATTTACTAATTATAATAAGTGTAATAATAATAATACTAACAGTAATTATGTTGTTAATAATAATAAAATTTTTAAAAATTAAAATAAATGAAATAAGCCTAATATTAAAATAAATAAAACTTTTTATTTAGCTAGATAATATTTAATGTTAATTAATTTATTACAATTTTTTTAAAAAACTTAATTAATGTTATTATTATTATTGTAAAAGTTTTAACTTTAGATTATATTATAAATACTATTAGTTATTAAATTATTCAGTATTTTATTATTAATTTTTAAAAATAAATTTTTTGATAAATAGTAATTTGATTATTATTTTCAACAACAACAACAAAAAAACTGTAAAAAATAAATTATAATTAATATTACTAAAGTAAATTAAAATGTACTAGTACTAATAAACTAGATGTTTTAGCCTCTCGTTAAAATTTTTAAAAAATTATGTTTTTTAATATAAAAATAATCTAATATTTATTTAATTAATATTAAAAATAATCTAATATTTAATTATTTAATTAATTAATTTAAATTTAAATTATTTAATTAGTATTATTAATATTACATACCTGTTATACCTTGATGACTTACTAATAAATTGACAACATGAAATGTAAACTTACAAATATCTAATATATTATAAATATATAGTATCAACAATGTACTAGATACATTTTGTTGTAACCTATAAGCTTGTCGACTAATTTGATAATGTCGAAATTCTATACATTTTAAATTATCTAGATTAAATTTTCTACAATTTAATTGATCAAACATTTTACCAATTATTTGACAATTCAAACAAATATACACGGTAGCCAATTGACATGGTAATTGGGTACATAGATTATATAGGGCATGTAGCAATGTACTTAATAATTGACCATGTTGAAATAAATTACGATAATACAATTTCATTAATATATATGGTTCTAGTTGAATCAATTGTTTCATGGTTACCAATATAATATAGCTTAAAATATTTATAGTAATATAAATTAGCATCAAGCATAATCTATATGTATACCATCTAGTTAATTTTTGTTGAATAATTAATTTATTATCTAGTACAAATTTATCGCATTTTAAATTAAACATGATAGTTAATGGTGCCGATAATTTTAGCATTACCAATGTCAATAGAAATAGATCGTAATCAGTTTTATATTTATTACTATAGGATGTACTAGTCAGAAAGTTAATTTTTATATAAACTACCATGATCAAATTGCCAGCTATAACTAGACGAAATAAATATAATTTTAAATAATTAATTATCAATTGATTTAATTTTAAATTTTTTAGGTTAACTGATTGTTGACGAAAACCAAAACACTTCATTATAGTTTTTAGATAATCATTAAATGATTTATTATTATTATTATTATTAGTTGGTGTTGTTGTTGATGACATATTTTTAAAAAAATATATTACATAAAAATTAAAATTGTTTAATAAATTATTAGTTTTTATTTTAAATATTTTTAGTTTAACTATTTAAAACTATTACTAGATATTTCTATGACTGTTATAATACTAATAATAAACTAATTTTTGTTGTATTTTTATAATATGTATTATTAAAATATTTACATTGAATTTTATAAAAAAAATTAATTATAATAATAATATTGTTAACTTATTTAGATTAATTTTTATATTATGTAAATATTGTATTTATTGATTATTTTTTTTTAATATATATTGTATTTATTATTATTCATACATTAAAGTGAGTGTTTGTTTTGTTTGGTTGTGTTTAACATTATATATTTTTTTTTAAAATATATTTATTATATACTGTATATATTTGACAATAATATTAATAATAATAATTTATAGTTATTTTTTTCTGTTTGATTATATTTACTTAATAAAAACTAAGGCAACAATTAAAATTGAATTTATTATTTTTATTATTAATAAAAATTTAATTTAAATTATTATTTATAAAATTGTATGAATACTACTGTATATGTTATGACAATAGACAGTCCGGTCCATATGATTGACGATTGAATGGTAAACAGTGAACAAGCGGTCAAATCGATAGGTTGTCGGCGTATATGTGCTAACAATGCCGTCAATCGGTGTAAACAATCACCAGTTATAGTTGTGTCCAACGATTTGTAATATTGATTCGTTAATGATGTATACGTTTGACGGGATTTGTTTGACATATTAATTGAACTAATTGTTAGCCAAATATAGTTAATTGTATAAAATATTAGACGATTTACGCTTATAATCAAATCAAACCAATTGCCTATTGTTTTATTATTGCGAAACAAAAATTAATCAATTAATTTCAAAAAGTTTTTATTAATTATAATAATTATAATTGTAACTGTAATTATATTGTTAATAATAAATTTTTTAATAATTTTTTTTAAATTAAAATAACCAAGATAAGCCTAATATTAAAATAAATAAAACATTTTATATAGCTAGATAATATTTAATGTTAATTAATTTATTACAGTTTTTTTTAAATTTAATTAATGTTATTATTATTATTGTAAAAGTTTTAACTTTAGATTATAATATAAATACTGATAAAGTTATTAAATTATTCAGTATTTTATTATTAATTTTTAAAACTAAAATTTTTTGTTAAATAGTTAATTGATTATTATTTTCAACAACAACAACAAAAAACTGTAAAAAATTAATTATAACTAATTTTACTAAACTAAATTAAAATGTACTAGTACTAATAAATTAGATGTTTTAGCCGAAAATGTTAAAATTTAAAAAAAATTATGTTTTTTTATCATAAAAATAATCTAATATTTATTTAATTAATTAATATTAAAAAATTAAATTATTTAATTAGTAATAATAATATTACATACCTGTTATACCTTGATGACTTACTAATAAATTGACAACATGAAATGTAAACTTACAAATATCTAATATATTATAAATATATAATATCAATAATGTACTAGATACATTTTGTTGCAGCCTATAAGCTTGTCGACTAATTTGATAATGTCGAAATTCTATACGTTTTAAATCATCTAGATTAAATTTTCTACTATTTAATTGATCAAACATTTTGCCAATTGTTTGACAATTCAAACAAATATACATGGTAGCCAATTGATAGGGTAACTGGGTACATAGATAATATAGGGCATGTATCATGGTACTCATTAATAATTGACCATGCTGAAATAAATTACGATGATACAATTTCATTAATATATATGGTTCTAGCTGAATCAATTGTTTCACGGTTACCAATGTGATATAGCTTAATATATTTACTGTCATATAAATTAGCATGTATACTATTGTTAGTTTATACCATCTTGATAATTTTTCATGAATAATTAATTTAGTATCTAGTACAAATTTATCGCATTTCAAATTTAGCATGATAACTAATGGTGCCGATAATTTTAGCATTACCAATGTCAATAGAAATAGATCGTAATCGGTTTTATAATTATTATTATTATTA